CCGAGGTATTTGTATGATGAGCTAGTCAAAGCACTATGAATGGAATGAATAATCTGTCAGCCGCGATGAAATCATCTTATCAAAACAGGTGTAGTTGATTATGAAGTGAATATCGAGATTGGATGAATTCGAGTGAAAATCGAAAAAGAATGCTTCTTGAAAGAAATGAGCAATGAAAATTTGAGGTATTAGCGATGTGGTTTCGGATGTGGTGCTGCGAACTGAAGTGATACAAGTTAAATACGATTGCGTTGAAGAGAAAGTGGCTCAACTCTGGCAAGAATATCATCCAATCGTGAGTGGATGTTTCGTTCAGTGATCAGTTATTGAATGGTGCACATGGTTTCATTAATGTGATTTGCTTATTGCAATAATTTAGTTGGTCATTCACATTGGTGCTCATCCGAGTGCACGTTTGATAAGAATCGAACAGCAAAGTTTTGGGCGAGGATATTGCTCGTTCGATGTTGATGGTAAGTGAATAATCCTCTGAAATGTTGATTCTTTCGCTCGATTTCTCGTTTTTAAAAAATAACAGTGTGTGATACGTAACCTTCTCATAGGTCAAGTCCCTTGTGGCAATGTATGCCCCGTCAAAACACCACTAATCAAACTAACGCAATCGATTCTCGCAACAGAGTTGGATTGCGAACGAATAGTTAAGGTTGTGACACAATCACTTAACTTTGATGTTCTCAAAGTTGAAACATCCAATGATCCTGGCAGGTCAGCGAGACAGCTATAAATTACTCTCTTACAAGTAGTGTTTCTCTGCGGTTGTCAGCTCTGTTCAGTTTAGTTTTTACTCGCAAAAGTGCATCTTATTGCTTCACTTTGAAATCAGCTTCATAATATTGCATCACTGTTCTCTGAAAAGTTATTTTATTGCAGATATCTATGTGCGTACAGTTATTTCATGTCATTGAGTCACGATAAGAGTAGAGCATTATTCGTTCATGTACCTGGCTTTGATGCTGATGTCACTGTACAAATGGTGACCACAGCCATCAAGCTTATCATTAAGGAATGCCTCCATCAGCTCAACTCAACTGCAGCAACTGACAGCTGATTCCACTTCTCATCCACTGTCAACTTCATTTGTAGTCATTAATCATTATTTCAAAACCTTTCTCCTCAACCGAGTCACAACAAGTTCGTAACCAATTCATTATTAACACTGAACTTTCTGGAAAAAAAAGAAAGACATTTGCCTCTCATGAAGCCGTAATTTTTTGATAGCAATATTCTTTCGTCAAATCAAATTTGATTTTTATCATCATTTTACTTGCGAACTAAATTTTGAAGCCAGTTAATTTGTTAACCGATGTGACTGTTTTCAACGGGCAGATTAATAGGCGAAATAATCTCTTTAGGAGGAATTTTAGTAAAATTCGTATTGTTTATTAGCACCATTATCCACTCACTGATCTTTACGTTTGTAACTGTGATCGATAAACCTGAAAACAACACGTAAGTGCAATTATCGCAACATAACATTGCCAACAAGAATATGTTTATATGGTCAAGTTGTTATATCGTCGAATTATTATTCAGTTAACATTTCTCTACGTTTCTTTGTACATGAAACGTATCTTCTTTCATTTCCTCATTTATCCACATATCTCATGACTGATTATGTTTGCATTGTCACTCAGTGATACATACGTTTCAGTCTCATCATTAAGCACTCATCGTGCGCCTTAAATTAACCATTTAATTAAACACTTTTCTTACTTGTCATGGGACATTGTTCGTGTCTTTTTTTTGCATTCAACAAAGCTACAATATACAATTGTCTTGTTTCGAAATGACTACAACCAGCCAAGTTGAACTTTTATCCGTTATGAATGAATTTTGTGCGAATAATCCGAGAAATTGCATATGATTCTTGATAAAAAATACTTTTAAATGCGAGTAGCGTATGCAGGTAGCCATTTATCAATTGTTTGAAATATGTGTGTAATTAAAAGATCATTGTCAGATGTTTCTTTTAATCACTGAATTAATGCATAACTAGACGTTTCTGATGGATAGCTATCTTCATCAATATTCTTTCCGCATAAACATTGTATTAGTTTCGTGTTATTGTTTTGTTTTTTGTTTTGTTTTTTTTTTCGCTTTCATATGGATTGTCTGTTGCCAGCTCGTGCTGTTATGTATTCATCGAATCGTCCAAAGATTTTTCTGCATCATTTTGATCTGACTATCTTCATTCACAAGCAGATATCTTGTGTTACTAGCGTGTTTTGTTGGACTGACTTGTGGTAGTAGTGTGTGAGAGAGGAGAGATTTTGTATTGAGTGAGGTGTGTACGGATAGAATGTTTATTATAAACGGAGTGAGTGAAATGAGATTAGCAAAGATGAGCGCGAGATCAATCAACAAAGGTGAAACGCTGAGAACGATTGAGCCTTGTATGATGAAATATGTACAGAGTGATACGCTAACTACTCACTTGGTACGGTTTGACAGTGCAGCGGTTAACAGTCAAGCATAAGGTAAGAAAGAGGTAAGGTGGTTGTTGATGAAGTGTGTGGACGACAGCTAAGTTGAAAAGTCTGGGTGTAGGCAGTGAGTAGTGCAGTCATCTATTTGTTCAGACGAGGGAGTTGATTGAGCGAAGCAGCGAATGAGGTTGAGATCAGGAACATTAGTTAATTGAGATGGACGGCTCTGACGACAAGTGATTTTAACTTGTTCAACAGTTGTATCTTGACGCAAAAGAGATAGTGGATTGTTGAAAATTTGAGACAAATGCTTAATATTGTGAGGCAGATAGATAGACTTGTTGAACAATCAACGTTGACACAACACCAGATGGTTGAATGAATTGCATCTTTGTGAGAACAACAAAGTCTTGGCTCAAGACAAATTGAATAGAAATTGCATACAGTAAGCTCAACTAACAATAATGGTGTTTGAATTTGGACACGACGTGGTTCGTTATCATCGATTAGCCGACTGCTCCGCATTTGTTGTGCTGACTTCAGAGTTAGGTATTCAAACCTTTGTTGACATCAAACACAATGTATGCAAATAATTTGCATAATGTAATCGAAAACCCTACGAAATAATTCAAACATGAGTAAAACCAAAGAGTGAACTGGCGACAAAACTACAGTAATAATTGCTCCAAAAGAGCGGAGCGTTGGGTTGTAAAGAAAACAAAAGAATTGAACGATAGGTGGTTAGTTGTAATTTTGGTTTGATTTGCGTGTTACTGTAAGGAGATGTTTCGTCGGTACGTTTGGTTTGGAACGTCTGTTTATTCAGTAGGGAAAGGTTTCGTTGATCACTTTCACGATTTGTTTATTTTGACAGATTCCTTGGAATCATCTTTTAATGCATATGATCATAATCTCATTCATGCTTATTTCATATAAAAATGAAGATGTTACAAATCGATTTCTCAGTCGATTATCATTTGGGTTGTTGCCTTCAGAATAATTAAAATCCAATCAGAACGTTATCATGGTGGCTGTTCCCTCGCCATCCTCACAATATTGGTCAAAGATGAATTTTTCTCTTCCTTGCTAATTGCAAGGAATTAATTATACCGGAATGTGCCAGGCTACCAAATGTCTATAGTGTTGACTGGTTTGACGATGTTGACTTTTATAATGGAACTGTATACTGCAATTTATTGTTGCATTTGCTTAATTAATCGTTGCTCTTTTCAATCGAATATTTTCACTTTTAAATTTTGTAAATCATCTTGTATTTTTTACAATCTGCAATTGATAACTATCTTGCTAACTTGGAAATTTCGTCGATGCACGAAGTTGATTTTGTGTGGTGCAGTGAAAGTGCAAAATAAGTTGTTTTGCAGTTGAATTTGTATGTGTTTGGTTGTGCAGGTGGTTTAGCTGAATAATTATCAATTGCGCACTTTTTATTGTATAAAACATGCCTTTGATCGCTGTAAAATCTTCGAAACGTACAATTTTCAATATCATAATTTATTCGGAGCTTATTTTCGGTTCTGCAGAGAAAAAATTTGGTGGAATCGTTGGAAATTTTTTTCTATAATGGAAGATNTTTCTTCGAAATTTCTGGATCATTTCAAATGATTTTGAAGATACGAATCTGTGATTGAGATGAAATTGTTGAACGAAATGACATACGCGAGCGAGGTGCGTGTCTTCGTACTGCATTATCGAGCGTAGTTTCATTTCAAAAGAGTAATCTCAAGGAGTAACACCATTTCTGTGTTATGTTTTACACATTTCAAGTGATTATGAACAAGCGTTATTGTGAACAAATAAACAGATGGTGCTTAACCTTGTTTTATAATTAAATTACGGACTTGCATAAATCCTTTGTTCTTTTATCTAGTCCAGTGCATCCTTTTTACATTCTTTATTATTATTATTATTATTATTATTATTATTATTGATATTATTATTGTTATTATTATTATTGTTATTATTATTGTTTAATATTATTAATAATAATCGTTATTGATATTATTAATGCTATTAATATTATTGTTGTTATTATTATTGCCATTATTATTGCTATTATCATTCTCATTATTATTATTGTTATTAGTATCTCTATCATTATTGTTGTTAACGCAATCATTATGATTATACCCATTATTTATACTTTATTTCTTTTACAAATGGCCAATTTGGTGGAACATTAAGTTTGTTTTTTTTAAATGAAAAGGAGTAGTACTTTAAAATTTAAAATCAGCATTTGCTGTAGTTTAATTGATAGTGTTTTATTCAGTGTGCTCATTCTTACAATATCTTTGCGCATCTAATACTTCGGCTCATTTTAGTCTTGCAAATTAATTTTTGAACGGGTGTCACCATTATACTTTCTATGTATGTTGTTCATTTTTTCTTAATTCATCAGTATTGTTCGAAATTAGTCCGTAATAGGAATGTGAGTATATAGAATTGTTTATAAGCACACCTCTCAAACGGTTGGCATAAATTCGATTCGGTCGCGATACCGTTACGCTTCCGTAAATATGATTCAGCTGATTCAATTTTCAGGCAAAAATGAATCTTGACGAGTGTGTGCGAAAAGTCCGTAATGCTTCGCAATTATATGAATTCTGTTACATATCTGAATCACTGCCCAATATTACTGAATTGTGTCGTCGTCCGGGCGTAAACAACCCTCGAAAGCTTTCAGTGAAACGTGAAAGTTTTTAGAACTTCATCATTCGTGCTTCGTGATATAAAATGATCAGCATTTTCAAATTTTATTGCTTCCAGTAGTATCATTGCTTCTTGGTTTACCCATGCTGCAACTCTAATCTTCCGTCTGACGGTCAGTTTTCCAACTTCGTTCGCACATTCTTATTCATTGTATCTATTTTATCCGAAATGTCGGTATAAAACTTTCGATGTTTGAAGTAACTCATTTCCGTTCTCGTTGGTGACATCAGCTTGCGTTTTCTGAATGGTTGTTACTCTTTGACGAATTTAAATGAAACGGTTGTGCAACACTACACAATAATGCTTTTAATTCAGTACTGCAATCAAACTCTATCCTATTATAATACATTTCATAGATTCAGTCTTGTCGCGAAAATTAATTGGCACTATTTAGTGCAAAAAGCGATACTACTGAACGCAGCTGCATTTGTACTAAATGTAAGAGGGATCACTGAACCAAAAGTTTCACGTATACTGACTGACATGAAAAACTGCAGATTAGTGGATGGAATTACGGGGATGGGGGAAGGTCTGAGATGCTTTCGTTAACAAAAAGTGACAAATTAAAGAAAATTATTTTTCTACACTCTGCTGATTATATGAAAATATACCTCGCCTCTTTAGGATGATAATTTTTTTGATGGAAAAAATAAAATGCTGGAGACCGCATAGATCCCATTTCTTCAAAAGAGTCTTTTGGTGTGAACGAAACCTTTGATAAAATTTCTCCTGAAAGAATTGGGTTGAGATTCGCTAAGTCGAATTGTTTTTCTTTCGCCTGTGGCGACGTAATGCACGAATTTCAAAACTTTTGGTTGTGTCGCCTTCCGAAATGGTTCGTTCTTATTGATTGGAATCAACAATTGCGGAAGTTCCTCGAAGAGTATTCTGGAAA